TGCATCCATGGTCACTCAAAAAGACTTTGGAGTGTTGTTTTACATATCGAGAAACACGATGATGCGTAATTCATGCGAAGTATCCTTAAGGATGTTTCGATGAGGAAACACTCCATCGCCTCTCAAGGTGCGGTCTGTTTGGTGGACAAAGATTATGTGGAAAGATAAACTAGATAAAACTCTTCTAAGGATTACGACTAACTCAATTTGCTATAGCACAACAATTTATCCTAGTGTCTGGAGCATCCCTAACCTCCTTCATATATACTGGCGTCTCACCTGTTATGGCACATCACCTCAGCGATGTCCTATTTTGAGGAAGCATAGCACCAAACTGTAACAACTAAAGCTATCTTTCGAATGTTGGTATGGTCAATACGTCTACGCTAAGCATGGAATCACTTTTGAGAAACCAGCCTCACTTTAGTAAAGCGGACAAACGTGGCACTTCGGAATGCAGTCTGCGTATTTTAATATTTAGCTTGCTCCACCATCATTTGGGGAGGACGAAGTCGTAAAAGCTAGTACTTATCAGGATTTATCATTTGCTTCATATTCATAGGGCATGAAGCATTTTTTTTGTGCAGGTTGCACCCTTTAACCTTGATAACAAATTCTATAACGCACCCAAAAATGCTGGAAGATAAATCGTGAAAAATAAATGCCCTTCGTCTAGGGTTTTACATTTGAACTCCCGCGAACTTGTGCACTGATCCCCTTAGGTAGGGTCCAAGGCTTTCAAAACAACCCAACTTGAAAATAATGGACTCTTAGCAGCCAGATCGAATTGTGCTAAACTGCTAGTAATGAAAACGCTAGGACAATGGTATTGCTAGAGTTAAAAACATATGAACTCAGGAACTAGTTAAATTTCCTGTCAAAATTGCAGTGTTGTGCTGCTAGAGTGGTATTAAGTGACGAGTTAGTTCTAACTTAACAAACAAAGGCCTCGATTTAATGGACTAGAAAAGTGATAAACGCTAACAACAAGTCCCACTCGTAAATGACCAAAAAAAAATACTAATTAAAGATTAAATAGTATTCTTGCACTCCAAGAAAAATTAAACATTTGACTATCTACAAGTTCTTATGAACTGACAGGTAGTTTGCGCCGTTGGAAGTGGCACTGAAGTGTGCTTGGAGAGTGGAGAGAGGAAAAGGGGAACTAACTTTGTTCCTTCAAAAGCAAACACAAAAAATAACAAGACGGGAAAGCAACTTCTATTTTGCTCAAGAACCAACGTTCGAAGTACATGAATAGACGAATTAGTGCGACCAAAGCATTTACATCATCGTAATCGTCAGACCCAAGCAGTGTCAGTTTGTTATATCCGACCCTAATAACAGCCATCTGCAACCAAAGCGGGATTGTTAACTTCCAGCCCAGACCTGTACCTAATTAATGGCATGCACACAAATTGATAACTGGCGACGAAACCCTGGCATATTATACAAACAAAGGTGCCTCAAGGATTCAATCAACACAGACGGAAAGATAAGTACCTCTTTAGGAAGGACAGAGTTTAAAGAGAAGTTTAGGCTGGAAAATACCGCCCGTAGCTTCTTCCTCAGGCTCGGACTCTTAACCACCTGGAATCACTTGACAATGAAGTGGAGCGGAGTGGCGTAAGATTGCGGATTTCGCAATCACTGGGTCTCCACACCATTCCCAAGCCTGCTTTCAATGTGCGAAGGAGGGAGTCGAACTACCTTTACTTCACCTTCACCAATGGATCCATTCCATCACTACTTCAGTTCACATCTCCTTGACTGGGTACGCTAAACTCAAGTTTATCTCTGCATCCCGGTCAAGTATTATGCTTCGCATTGTCCACAAGGCAGCCTCTAGATACTGAAAAAGTATTAGCCTCGTTAGAATTATACATTGAGGTCTCTCATTCAAGCAGAAATATTGGCATTATCTCCCGTAATTTCATTTCTAGACAGTCGATCCGCAAAAAAGCAAGGACTGAGTTGAAAATTGAGTCGATAAGGGCTATCAATTGTAATTTTGTCAAGGTAGGCCAAATGCTGCTTGTAAGTGAGTTTGTTGAGGCTCTACTATGAGCAAATAGATTTGAGGCAAATGGCAATATGATAAATTAGCCAGATGTGTTACTCTGACTTAAATCGAACTGCACTTAATTTTTTAAGCCAACCTTTAAATTTGAACAAAGGGAATTTAATGCAACTAAAACTGTGGGAGCAGTGATTTTGGAGACCTGTTTTGTTAGGAAAATTTTTTCTTAGACTCAGAGGCATTGAGGTATATGAAGTCAGCGGAAAAGCAATTTAAACTCGAGTCCAGTCCGTGGGGAAGATGAAGAGACGTTCTTAGTTTGACATCATCTTTCCGTCTCATTAATTCCGCTCCCATTTCCATCGTCCTGTGCACGGCACCTAGTAAAGCTTCTTCAACAAATTTCTTCCTGAAGTCTGCGACGCAGAGGCTTGGGAGTAGGCAGGCAGGTCCTGCGGCGCTTTTAGCTATAGCTTCCAGGTGTCTTTCAGCACAATCAGGTGTAGATCTCGGAAAAAACTAACTACCGTAACCCATAAAATGGGCAGGCTGTGGTCTAAATAAAAGCTCTTGTTGCGTACCTGATAATGTTATTATGAATCACTCATAATGTCTGACGTAAAGAAGCACTTTTCATTCTGAAGCGTATATTAAATAAGTTTTAAGAATTGTCTAATGATTGACCTTTTAATAGGCGATTTGCGGAAATCTCTCGAAAAAATGAGCAAAATGAGGGTAAGAAATTCAAAGTTGCTATAAATTTAGTACTCGTTATATGTTAGATGTCTTGATTTTGTCACGCTCGAGCCAAAGCCCGCGGACTTCGTTTCAGATTGGTGACTGTGGCTGTTCTTTCGTGGGTCTTTTGATATGTCGTACTATGAGCTACCAAGATTTAACCTTATTCTTTTACTTGCGCATTTTGTAAACCCAGTAACAGTTACATTGACCACGCTCAGTCTTTCGTGGGCGAAAGTGTCATCCGTTCCTTCACTTTTAATCCAGGACTTCCCAAAATGACTAAAACTGCGCTGGTTCTCCTGGCCTGTGGAGCCGAAGAACTCGAAACCATTGCCATTGTCGACATTTTGGCTCGTGCAAAGGTTCTCTTATGACTCGCCTAACTAAGTTTGGCTAGGTCAAGGTTGTTGTTGCTGGTGTTGGTGGCCCTAGTGTAGTCACGTGCAGTCGCGGCGCGAAGATTCAACCTGACGTTGCGCTTGCTGATGTTGTTGGCACTGCTTTTGATTTAGTGTATCTTCCCGGTGGTATGGAAGGCATGAGAGCCCTCTCTAAGGTGCGTCACACTTCTAGTTTATTTTCTAGAGCGCTGATGTCGGTAAAGTGCTCAAAGACCAGCATGAAAACAAGCGCTATATTGCGGCAATTTGCGCTGCACCCTGCGCTCTCAAGGCCCATGAAATTAATAAGGGCGCAAAGGTGACTAGTTACCCATCGCTGAAGGGTGATTTAGAAGGTAAGCTTTATTTACTTTCCCGTGAAGCGATCATTTCTTCCGGCCTTAGCCTACTACACTTACTTGGATGAGACGATTGTTGAAGACGGGCATCTTCTGACCAGCCGCGGACCGGGTACTGCCATTGTTTTTGGTTTAAGACTGGCTGAGCTGTTAACAGATCACGCCACCGCCAAATCAGTTGCTACTGCCATGCTTCTTCCCTTCTAATTCTAGTGTTTCTCTTTGTTTAAGTTGATAATTGTGAACTAATTCAAATTCAACGTCCCTCCACCCTGCTTTGAACCTCTAGCAAATCGAAATAAAGTGCTTCTGCATTACTCCATCGCCATTGTTGGGTGTGCCTTGCACTTTTACATCTACTAGCTAACCAATTCATACGGAAATGAGGCAGACCTCTCACCTTAGTCAATCAACTTTTCGGCATTGTTCTCTGACTTTAGTTTATTCTATGTTATCACTTGGAGAGCCATCTGGCTAGGCCTGTGACGTGAGGGCGCCAATTCCGCTCGCGCCGCGATATAGCTGCTTCGCATCCAGTAGGCGAAGTAATTGATCCCCAC